CCAACAACAACTTTCTCTTTGCAAAGATAATCCTCTCTGCTGCCTATTTCCTTCACTTGACCGAGAACCGTTGTCAAACTTTATTGGTATATTTATTTGTTAGGTTTTTCTCCTGTTTTGTTCCAGGAGCTCAAGGAAGTTTACGTGGGATCTCTCCAAACATTTATCCCCATTACAGCTTTGGTACTCTCAGGATGGGATTAGAGTTTCCATGGATAAGGATGGACTTGAACCTGGATGACCCCAAACTGAGAGCAGTAACATAACTGTGAGCAAGAGGCCGATAAAAGTCCTTGGAGTGTTCTCTAGAAACTGATATCCTTGAAAACCACATTCCTAAGTGTTTATATCTGTTTCTGGATTTGTTTTGTCCATAATTCAAATCAGAAAAGCTGTAAACTATTTCAGGAAAACATGGGTAAAGGGCAGCATGTTGAAAGTTGCTACAACTTTCTAAAACAATACTGGTAGGATGTACTGATTTCAAATATGTATGTAATGCTCATAACATTTTGCTTTCTGGGCAAAATGTTATGAGCATTAAATTTCAAGGCTGTTATTGGAAAAAAAAAACCAGAAGTACCCTTCCCTCCAGGCACTGGACCAAACAGTTTCATTCTCTGTCCTATCCCAGTGCTTGGGGGAATAACCAGGTCATCACAGCCTTCCAGAAGGAATTTGAATGACAAGCTGTGGGTTGTATTCCAAAAACTGCGTGGGCAGTAAAAAGGGTGCTCATGTCTTGATTTCCAGAATTTTGAATCCCATAGAGGTTCTCGACTGCATATATTCTCCCTCTGTATATGGTGGATGATAATGATAGGATTGCAAAAATTTGGCATTCATACCCCCTTCCTTGTAGACAGCATACCTAGGCATGATAAGTGGTCAATTTCTTTTTGCTTTGAATTGGGGTTTTGACTGCCATTATAAAGTAAAATTTCCAGGAGTTTAAAAGTGAGGTAAGAGAGGTAGAAGAGTCTTGAAAATTTCTTTGCAGAAAGACCCGGCGCTTGTATTAATGATGATTTAAATGGCAATCCTAAACTTTACTGGACCAAATATTTATTTCTGTACAATTTTACTGGCACAGTACTATTGGTTTTTAATATTGACAGCAGAGGGAGACATGCTTCCATGATAACCAAATTGGAGAAAGGAAACAACCAGCCCCAATAGCAGCAAAGAGAACAGAACTTTAGGATCTTTAAAAAAGTATATTTCTGTCAACATATTTGTGAGATAAATGCTGAAAAAAGTTATCAAAACATCCTGAGTAGATTTTTATTTATTTACTTACTTATTCATTCATCCACCAAATTTGTACAGCTGCCTACCTCATAAAAAGTACCCCTGGATGACATACAACAAAAATATAATAAAATATTTATTTAGCAGTATATATCTTTTGAAAGTCAGTTTTGTGTAGTGGGTAAGGCAGAAACCAGGAGTCGAATGTATTATAAGTGCAATTTAAAAGGATACTTGTGGCATACAAGTTCTGTATTATTAGTGAAAATCCTAACAAAATTCAAAACATATGCAGAACTTCCAGAATTTCATTATCAGTGTATGTTTGGTTTGATTTTATCTATGCTGGAATATTGGCTGCCATTATGAGATTCATGCTTGAATTGTGCACCGTAAGAATATTTTGTCCAAAATAAATCTTGCATAAGACAAATCCAATAAAATAGTAAATAAAAATCTTATGTACCAGTAATAGCTCCAAGATAAAGAAATATCAGAACAGGCCAACCAAAACTGTATCAGTTACTGTAAAATGCTTTGGCAAATAAAATCAGTTTTGAACTAGGATCTTTTTAGAAATGGCTAAACAAATGGCCTCAGAGGAAGAAAATGAACCAGGACAACACAGTGCCCCCAACTCCCAGTTCTGGGATCATTCCAGGATTCCATTATCAATGATAACAAAGGCCATGGAGAGGTCAAGTAAAACAATGGTGGACACACTACCTACATCCTGTTCCCATCAGAGATCAACAAAAAGCATAACCAATACAATTTTTGACCTGTAACCAGGCTTGAATGCTGACTGAAAGGAGTCCAGATAATCTGTTTCATCAAGGATCTTCTGAAGCTGCAGCATGACCACCTTCTCAACAACCTTCCCCACAACCTTCCCCAGAAAGGGAAGATTAGAGATAGGACAAAAATTGTCCATTAGCATGGGATCAAGCAATGGCTTCTTAAGAAGGGCTGAACTACAGCCTCCTTAAAAGGGCTGGGGCATCACCCCCTTATCTAAAGTTACATTAATCGCCCATACATCACTTGCCAGGAGACTTTTACCAGCCTGGAGAATGTGAGTCTAAAACAGATGGCTGAGCTCACATTCCCTAGAATCCTACCACTTCCTCAGGAGCAACTGGTGAAATCATTGCCAGATAACTATACAAAGCCATAGGCATTTCCCTGGACCTGTGTCCACACTAATATCTAACAGGAAATGAATCCAGGTGGCTTTATCTTCTAGAAAATCAGCAGTTCCTCAGGGTGCCCCTGCAGATAAACATTCAAGTTACCTTTACCCAGAGGAACCAGGTCATCTTATAGAGGGTTGCTAAGTAATTTGCAGATGCAATTTCTGCAGAGAAATTCTGGTTTGCCACATGAATAGTTATGAGGTGGGTCTTAATATCTGTGTTCAGTCAAGGTTTTCTTCATCTTCTGCCAGTAGTGCTTGAGATGTCCCTTGATATATTTAATCTGTCTCAATTCTTCCATCTACCACGGGGTATAGATCCATGAGTCAGGAAAGATGGCTTGGGTACAATCCTTAAAATCTCTGTTATCCTCCTATTGCAGACAGTGATTTGGGTCTCAGCAGGACTACGCAGCTGACCTTCAATTATAATCTGCAACTCCCTCTGAAATCCATTGGAGTCCATATCTCAAAATACGAGTTTATCATGCAGCAATAAGTAATAATGTATGGTTTGGTTTTCCCTTGCGGTATTTTATGAATGCTATTTGATTTATAAACTATGGTTGGTGCTTTAATTTATACCATATTCAGCTTAAGGTGAATCCTGCTGTCCTTCTGTGACATAAAGACAAACAGTTTTAGAGGACATGGCTTCATGAAAGAGGCCTCAGTTTATATTTGGAGACAGTTGTCCTAGGATTAAAGTAGTGTCTTTCCTCTTCTTCCAATGCAATTTTTGCAGAAAAAAAATACAGTGATTCACTATGTTGGCAATGACAAAGTTATGGCTAGGATCTGCTCTCAGCTGCAGTGGACATATCCTTTTCATGCATTTTGAAACAGTGGTAGTCCTGTTTTTTTTTTAAAAAAAAAACTAGTGATGTTTGCATAAATAGTTGATTTAAACTAGTAAGTGTCATGTTATATCAGCTATACTTTTCTAGTTCTATCCAAAATGAAGGCATTGCATGCTTTTAATTCTTCTGCATATGGGGGTACTTTCTGGTTTTATTACTTTGGGGTAGTTACAAGAGAGTCATTTTGTGTATTCCATGAAATATATCTATATGTAGAACACAAGACACTGATTTCCATTCCTTTGTGGCAGTTACTTATTTTCAGCAATTGGGAGTTGGGGTAAAATTGATTTTTGAACTCTGCCAGTTTGTCCTTCTCGTCTAGGTGACAGATCACAGCTCAGCCCAAGAGTGTGGAGTAGGATTCGAGAATGACCCACCCTCCCGCATGCTCCTCATAATCTTGTCTATGAAGTGTCACTAGAGCTGTCATTTGAATAGTCACTGATGAACATGGGTCTACCAGGCTCCTGAATTCTGGAAAACACTATCCAACATCTGACAGTTTATTGTGACAGGAGATGGGACCACAAATAACCAGGCAGGGGGGACACTCTCAATGTGCTAATCATACACCTCTGCCTGATACCTTGCCTTTTTGGGGACAGAAGATCAATAACAAATCGGCTCTTTGGGGACAGAAATAGCTCTAGTTTTCTGGCACGGAGCACCTTATGAGCTGGAAACTTGAAGCTGGGTAGTAAATGAAGGGAAACCCCGGGAATCCACTAGTCGCTGCCTTTGAACTGTCCTACAGTTAAAGCTAAAGGACAGGTCAATTGGCAAGCTTCGTAACTCAGGTTTTAGGTTTTTAGGTATTGGGTTGTTTTAAGTATTGGGTATTTGACTGTCGGGCAGCACAACTCGTGGCTGGCATACCTTTCTGCTGGAAAAAAGGAGAAAAGAACTGAAGGAACGAAGAGCCGCAATAAAGTATTTCTCGCGAGCAAAACGCCGTCGGGAAAATTCGGATGGAAAACAAAGAGAAGGCGGTTGCAGGCACAAATGTAGCGTAGCGGCGAGCAATAAGGCGCCCATAGGCAGAGTTTATCTTCAAGCAGAGTTCGCTTCGCGGTTAAAGAACGCTTAAGAGGCCCGGTTCCGGAAGAAAACTCTCCGCCCCATTGGCTGATCCTCTGACCAATCTCCGTCGTCCTCCCTTCCGATTGGCGTTTCGCTGACTCCTTGTTAAGGCTAAGATATACACAAGCATCACGCGCTCTTTTAACAGGAAAGAAGGCCGAGAGAAATGCCCCCCCCTACTCCCTCCGAGCTGTATTGCGAGGTAATGATCAACAATATAGGCAGGGTTAACATCGGTTCGGTAAAACTCGTGGATTCTGGGAAGAAGCCCAGAACAAACCGATTCGAATGAATCGAATTGCCGGTCTCGCTGGAGAAGGGAGTGAAAAAACAACAACCTCCCCCGGCTTCAATATGTAGCGCAGGCACTTCTCTCCTCACCCGCCCCCAACCACGGAAAAAAGTGGAAGGCTGACCTACCGGCCGGCTAGCCCTTGTCCCCACCCTGTATTCATGAGCCATCCGATTGGACGATTGTTCTTTATCTGCACCCTCCGCTGCCTCGCTTGCCTTCACCTCATTGGTTGATGCGCACGCGCGCGTCTCTCTCCCCCTCCCCGTCCCCGTCGGGGTAGGGGTTGGAGCAGCTCCTGGCACAGGCCCGGCAGTCGCTTGTCATCCGCCGAGGACTTCGCTACTGGCTCTCTTCGTTAAACGCTGGCACAATGAGGTCGCTCAGTTTACTGTGGCCGCGTTACCACTGACCTTTATCTCTTGGAATATGGCCGCGCCGCTCCCCGCGGTCGCTCCCAGGCTCATGGCAGGGCCGGCGGGAGGCGGCGAAAGGGAGACGCGGATGCTACCACGGTCGCCACTGCTGTTGCCTCTGCTGCTAGGAATTCTCCTCAGCCGGTGCCTGGGAGAACAGCCCGCTCGCGCCGCCGCCGCCTCTTCCTCTTCCTCCTCCTCCTCCTCCTTGTTGCCCGGGGCATCTGATTCTGAGGAAACGGTGATAATAGGGTTACGGCTGGAGGACACGGACGACGTGTCCTTTATGGAAAAGGGAGTGCTCCGGGTGAGCGAGAGAACTCGTGTCAAACTGCGGGTCTACGGGCAGAATATCAATAACGAGACCTGGTCCCGCATCGCATTCACCGAGCATGAACGGTGGAGGGATGGGGAAGGCAGGCGGCCGCCAGCTGAACAAGAGGACGGTCCGGTCCCCGTGGGCTCCTTGTCGTCGGCCCCGCAGCGTTGCGGCATCCGGACGTCGGACATCATCATCCTCCCGCATATCACCCTCAACCGCCGTACCTCGGGGATCATCGAGATCGATATTAAGCCCTTGCGCAAAACGGAAAAAAGCAAGTCGTACTACCTGTGTACCTCGGTGTCTTCCCCTGCTATCTTAGGAGGGGCGGGGAGTGTGGCCGGGAGCCCCGGTGTTGGAGCTGGCATTATTGGTCCCGATGGAGGGCCCTGGACTGAGACCACCTGGATCTATCACGATGGTGAGGACACCAAGATGATTGTAGGTGAGGAGAAGAAATTCTTGTTACCCTTCTGGCTTCAGGTGATCTTCATCTCCCTCCTGTTGTGTCTTTCTGGCATGTTCAGTGGTCTCAACCTGGGACTTATGGCTCTTGATCCTATGGAGTTGCGTATTGTGCAGAATTGTGGAACAGAAAAAGAAAAAAACTATGCTAAGCGCATTGAGCCTGTGCGCCGCCAGGGCAACTACTTGCTCTGTTCTTTGCTCTTGGGTAATGTATTGGTCAATACTACTCTTACCATCCTGCTCGATGACATTGCAGGTTCTGGACTGGTGGCGGTGGTAGTATCCACCATTGGTATTGTCATTTTTGGTGAGATTGTGCCACAGGCTATTTGTTCCCGGCATGGTCTGGCTGTGGGTGCCAACACCATCTTCCTTACGAAGTTCTTTATGATGATGACCTTTCCAGCCTCTTATCCAGTCAGCAAACTGCTGGACTGTGTTTTAGGGCAAGAGATTGGTACTGTCTATAACCGTGAGAAGCTACTTGAAATGTTAAGAGTCACTGATCCTTACAATGATTTGGTCAAAGAAGAATTGAATATAATTCAAGGAGCGCTGGAATTGCGCACCAAAACTGTGGAGGATGTAATGACTCCTCTCCGGGATTGCTTCATGATTACTGCTGAAGCTGTACTTGATTTCAACACTATGTCTGAAATCATGGAGAGTGGATATACACGTATCCCGGTTTTTGAAGGAGACCGCTCTAATATTGTGGACCTTCTTTTTGTCAAAGACTTAGCTTTTGTGGATCCTGATGATTGCACTCCACTCAAGACCATCACACGTTTCTATAACCACCCACTGCACTTTGTCTTCAATGACACCAAGCTTGATGCCATGCTTGAGGAATTCAAAAAAGGTGGGATGATGGTGGCTGGTGAAGGGAGTGGGGAAGGAAAATGTGAAAAGGAGCTTCAGGAGTATGGAAGGTACTTGATTATTACAATGAAAGATGGAGTTCTGGGGATATTAAATTCTGTGCTTAACATTTGGTGTTTATATGGTATAGCTCAGAATAGTAAACTGATTCTTTTGCCTTCACATATTTTCCTTGTATTCATAAACTTTAATCTACAGCTCCCATCATTTCTATTCATATGTATGTTATTGAATGTAGTTTAAGGATCAGTTTAGGTTTTTCACTGTCCAATGATTATTCAGATATTATGTTGAATTGTAACTCCAACCTGGACTCATCATCTGTCTTATGTGCACCTATGACTGCTAATATCTCAAGAAACAAGAGGAATTTATGGGCCCAGATTGTATCTGAATGTATAGGTTAAAGTAATAAATAACAAGCATTCTCTTTCAATAGAAATGTATGCCTGGTATGTGCATCATGCCATATATGAACTTTTACTTATCTGATGTTTATCTTAGACTTGAATTGATTATTATTGGCAACTAGTTTTATATCTCAGGTTATCTTTCCTTGAATAGCAATTTTTGTTTCCTTTAACAACTATTTGTTAACTATTCACTAGTTGCAATAATACAGCCTCTGTTTTATATAGTAAAACATTTGGTAGATGTGTATGATACAGAGCTCTTACATGGTAAATGCTTAGATACAGATTGAGTTAAAATTTTAGGTCAATAATAATGTTGGTTAATGTTGGCTTTTTTCTCATTGTGCACATAAACATGATTCGGAATTGTGATTATGAATCCTCAATGTATCTATACTGTACATGAAAGTTAAAGCCAAATAAGTCATCCAATATTATAACTTTTATGCTATGTTAATATTTTAGGTAGGTTTTTTTCTACACATTTTGTGAGATATCTTTCAGTAATTTATATCAACTAACATACATTGGCATTAAATTGTCATTGAGTTTGTTTTTAACATCCCAAAACCTCTGTTTAAAACATTGTTAGTATTTTCCACTGCTAGCCTAGCATACCAACACTCTGCGGACATGATTGTCTCTAGCTGTAAAGAGAGACATTTACTTAAGTATCTGATTCTGATTGTCACAAAAACATTGTAAACTATTATTTATTTAATTTATTATTGGTGCCTTTTTACTGCCAGGGATATTTTCTTCCTCAGGTGTCCAAATCATCTGACTTAGTTATGCAGTGCACTTGATTTTTGGAAGCGGAAGCTGGTCTGCTCTGCAATCACGAACACTGTTAAAAAGTAGTTTGGTCTGTGTGATTTATATGAATTTCATTACATATTCTCTTATATCTTGTTACATTAACTAGAAATCACTGATGACATCTTCTGAATGATACTATCTTTTTCTCCAGCTTGGTGAGCAAGAGCACATTTTATTGGTTCTCCTGTTATGAATTTCTTTTCAGCTGCAAACTGCCAGTACTAAGAATCATTTAGAACCATTCTAAAATCTACTTGTTTGGCTGGACTTTGAGATCAATTAAGTTGGGAACCATAGTGAAAGGTATACTGTTGCTTAGTTTCTGTGCATTTCTATGGGTCAAGCACTCTGAATGTTTAGAGTAGGCTATCAATCTAAAGATAATTGTGATCAAATTCTTGCAGGGAAAATATATTTGAAGATAGTTGGATTCAACATCAGCTTGAGATTAGCATTTGTTCAGTATTTGGATAAACAGGTTACTGCTGGTGTTAACTTTTTCTTAAAGTGGTACTTACTCTGTAGCAATATCACTTAGACTTATATACTGCTTCATAGTACTTTTTACAGCCCTCTCTAAGCGGTTTATAGAGTCATCCTATTGCCTCCAACAATCTGGGTCCTTATTTTACCAACCTCGAAAGGATGGAAGGCTGAGTCAAACTTGAGCCTGGTGAGATTTGAACTGTCAAACTGCAGCTAGCAGTCTGCTGAAGTAGCCTGCAGTACTGCACTCTAACCACTGTGTCACCTCAGCTCTTTCAAACCCTAACCCTAACCTCTGTTTGCTGAACTTTTGCACAGTTGGCAATTTGTAGGCAGTTTAAACTGCTAGTTAGATTTCAAATAGTGCCAGTCTGAAAACCTTACCTTTAACTTTTTCCATCTAAAAGTTACCCACCTTTCAGTTTTATATTCACTCTAGTTTTATTTTTCTTTTCATTTTTCAAATGAATATGTTTTGGTGGATAAAATGTTTTGGTAATCTATTATGTATCTTCCATAACCACTTGGTATATTCTAGAATAAGAACCAGCCTTGTTTATTGGACTTTATAATTTATGAAAAGTGAATTTAGTGAGATTGTATTGCAATCTAATCACGAAACTGTAGCAAATAGTACTATATGCCCATTTTAGTAATAGTTTAAGATTATCGAATACCACAAAAGCAATATTGTTGAATTTATAATTATATTTACAATTTAAGTTTATATAGCCACCCATCTTACAAAACTTTGGTTTTAATTTATACAAAATAAATAGATTAGTGCATGTATATATGTAAAAAAACACACACACAAACACACATTGGCACATACACACACACACATACACTATAGAAGCTAAAATGAGGGGGCAGGATAGATTTACTAAGAAAGTAACAAATACCTGTAAAATAACACTTTTGTTTTTCGGTCCTTCTACTCATTCCCTTAAACTGTAATCCATTTGTTAGAGGGTAAGATTATTAAGCATAGAAGAATTATTTCTCAGTCAATAGACTTAGATTGTTCAGTGGTATTAGTAAAATATATTATGATTAAAATGAAGATACTCTGGTTGCAAATTTTTCTTCTGGACAATAACAAGTTTAGCTAAAGATTAATGTATACAATTCTGTTTAGATATGTCAAATTCATTATTTGTATTTATAATTTATATATATATATTGCCCTTTTATATTAATACATAATATATAATATTCTTTTTTCAGAGACTTATATATTCTGAAAAGATGCTGGTAGAGTTGGATTTATTTTCAAAATGAGAGATCCCTAAATTTAGTAAGCTATTGTAGCATTGTGTGGGATGGATTAAAACATTATCTTGCTGTCATACTGAAATAGAAAAGTTATTTTCCTTAAATGGAAAAAATTCTTCTAGATTAATATTCAAATTGTGTTGTACATTAACATACTTTGTGCTGTCTTTGTTATTTTATAATAATTTCTTATGCCTTTTGTTCTCACAAATCTCTGTGTAAAACAGTCTTTGCAAGTTCCTATTTATGTGATTGATTCTGCAAAATACTGTAACATTATTAACACTAGTATAAAAACAAGTTGACCTCTATATTTTCCTCAACTTGAAATCAACCTACCCATATATAAGCAGAACACCAGAGCAGTCCTACTAATTAATCTTAATATAATTAGTTCAATGCTTTGACACCTCCTTCCTCCAATATTGGAGGTTTTGAATGTGTGGGCTAAAGTCCTTTTTTTAAAGATGCAAGACATCTGAAGATAAGACACCAGCAGCTTACAAATTAATCAACAGAGTCCTGCATTGCGCATAATGCCAGACACTTCTTATTATTCCCAATAATAGAAATACACACTGGATTCTCCCATTATGCCTGTCATTGATTAAACATGTTTATTAAATAAATCACAATAAGTAAATTCACATAATATGCTAAGAAGTAAATACAGTGGTCTTTTTAAAAAACCTGATATTTGGTTTTATGAACAGAATTTGGGTTGGTCCTGTTCTACTTGTCATCTAATGATAGAAGTGGATGCATGTTGTTGAGAGACTGGTGATGTAGGTTAAAGTTTAAGGAATATCTGATGTGAATATGATTAAAATTTAATATGAATTAGGATATGAATGTAATACAATCAGATGAAAATTTCAGTAATAATTATATTACAGGATTCATTTGTGTATATTCATCTTGAGTGATTGGGTGACCATTATTAGTTTCAATAAGTACTCCTGCATTGATAAAGTGTTTCATTAAGTATCATATTATGGTGAATGTAAATAAGTAGTTTCTGTTTCTTTCCTCACTCTACATTCTTGATGATGTTAAGGGAGTGTTAATATGTTTGCTTCAATTTGCATCCAAAGCTCTTAAATTTGGGGATTTTTTGTGTGCAAGGTTTGGAGTATCAGAAGGTGAAAAGGCTACTATCAATTTCTACTTAGTATTGTAGTAGAGATTCAAAATAGTCTTTGTTCTGACAAAATAAGCCAATTACAAATAAGCCAATTTTGATTTTTACTTTGTGATGTTTTGCTGAAAAAGCAAGAACTGTTAGCATATTAAATAGAACTTCGTCCAGATTTTCCTCATTAAAGAAAAATGGGACAAAGAAAATTACTTTTGTTATCCATAATCTTTTGAAAATAAATTATTTATGGATGGGAAAACAGTTCTTTGAAGTAAATATGGCACTGTATTGTTCAGTTGTTAGAATTTATAATGGGATTTTCCAAATGTGGGATTTGGAACTTTGATACTCTTGATCAAAACTCAAAAGCTCTAAGCAATGCAACATTTGCTGCATTCAAATTATGGTAACTTTTTTTTTTTTTACTTTAGTCTTTCACAGAAGCCCATTAGATCCTCTTGCCACCAAAGGATTCTGTGGACCACAGAGTGGAGTTATCCACTCCAATTATAGTGTAAAACTATAATCAACCCCCAAGTTGTGTGATTTGCCTTTAAACCAGGGGCAAGTATTGTTAAAAATCTGATTTGAAAATAAATTTATGGGCAATTTTTCACTTGCCTTCCTTCCAGTGGACAAGTGATTTTAATGATCCTGTTTTTGCTTGAGCAATGAGCTTTCACTAAAACCATTGGCATTTTTTCTTGTCTTTTTTTTTTAAACTGGCTGTTCTCAGCATGTATGATTCTAAATCCCAATCCTTCTATTTCTTAGTTTACCACAAAAATTTAGCTTGAAATTCCTTGTATTTAAAACTATAAAGCTAGTACACATAGTGCAGACCAC